AAGCACACACACTTTTTGCCCCACTCCCCTCAGGAAGGAGGTTAAGGAGCTTTAAGTGTAGAACCACTAGACTGAGGAACAGCTTCTACCCTGAGGCTGTTAGACTCATGAATCTCTAACCAGAATAATCACTGTGTGAAAAACCACATCATGTTGCTGCTGATCTGTTTCATGTTGCTGCTGATCTGTTTCATGTTGCTGCTGATCTGTTTCATGTTGATGTGTTCATGTGGGCTCATCTGCTCACACAGACTCATGTTCATGCTGCTGGTCGGTGTAATGTTTTTATACTATTAGTGCTTAGTGTATTTTTATTAACAATTTTCTTAGCTCATATCTTAGATGTTCTTACTGTTTTTCATTTACATTTTATTGTTGGATGTAACTGGGACCCTGTGTACATAATTTCGTTCCACCACATTTACCACATGAGGTGCGAATGACAAATAAAGAACCTCTGACTCTGACATTGATTTACACTTCTTCTGTTGGAGGCATGAACTTTGATTGATTTATACAACTAACTTTTGTTTTTCCCTTCTTAAATTATTCTTTTTTGTAAGTGCTGCCACTTAAATTAGTTTTATTCTCATTCTTATCTTAAAACCAAACTAAATACAGGCCTAGAGTCACCCGTCGCCTTTTGAAACAAAGTTTTAAACTAGAAGCATCTTTTGTTAAGGGACAAAGTTGTACACTTCTGGTGGAACCTTGAAAATAACACGCTCAGTTTCTCACAATAATGTGAGACGTCGCACTCAACAGCAGGCGTTGTAGACGATTCAGCTACTGCCACTTGAGGTTTAGGCTAATGCTGATAGGTTGTGGCAGCCATCTTGGATCTGGTTGGCTCCAAAAGTTAATCAACTGTACACGTGCATCTAATAATTATACTTGCTGCAACTGTCATTAAAATTAATCCAGTGGTTCATGAGATATTTTGCTAACAGGCAGATACACACACACAGACATGGGCAAAACATGAGCAACCCCGTTCACCTTCTGGCAGCAGAAGCTAGTCAAAATACTGTCATAGGGAATAAGTTAATCAAAATATTGCTTTGCTGTGATACATAACTACTAACATGCAAGAAAAATGATCAGAGGTTGAAAAACACCAACAAAAAAAACTACAGTAATCTACAAAATCAAGCTTAAAATATATATTTTTTACTATTTAACATTTCAGAGATCAACAATGATGACATTTGTGGTTATAACAGAGCTTTCTAAAGAGCTGAAGTGGGCGGATTGATCCAAATATTGATTATTATGATTCCTAATGGTATTTATACTGATTTATTTCAGTGTATTAAGATCAAAACTTAAGTTTCACTTTCTACGAAGAGAGAAGTGAGCTTTTTTTTAAAAAAATCATAGTTTCTGAACACAAACAAGAAAAAAAGTGATTTTAATTTGTTCTCCAGTGATATTTATGTGCATTTTGTGGATTTAGGAAAAGGTAAATGCAGACAAAATCTGTTTCTGCATAAAAAACTTTTATTGTCATAATGAAGTATTTTCTTTTTACTTATAATCTTTGCCCAAATTTGTGCCCAGGAGTATTCTTTTAACTAAATAAAAAAATAATAAATAAATTAAAAAACACTTGTAGGTGATGAAAATTTATTCAGATTAAGCATTTAGTTTAGAAGTATTGGTATTGGTAATACTGGCCTGTGTGTATGAAGATAAATCAGTCTCAAAAGTACACACACGCGTACAAGATGTGTAAGTGTATAAATATCCACTAGCATACCGAAAATTTCACAAATGCGTCCTATAAGATTCACAAATGCAAAACAGTTTATTCTGGATTAATTTTTTTTCCCCAGCTGTTTTACCAGAGGAAGAAAATACTGAGTAATATATTTTAAGTGTATGTGCATAAGTTATTTTTTATATATAGAGAGAGGTTATGAGCAATTGAGTCAAGTTAGAAATGAGTCTTCTCAATAACCCAGTAAATCTGGTAAACTTCAGATGTCCCAGCTTTTCACCAGACTTGAACGCAGCATTACTTTTGTGAATCTGGAGCAGCAGGAAAGTCTCAGACAGGTAATCTGATCCGTCCACAGCAGGTGATTTGTGCACGTGTATTTGACAATATGTATGCATCGAATATTCCTACCTGTGCAAACTGAAGTGTGTACATTTGAAAAACTGTTTATGCATTTGTAAAACAAGCCGGTGGATCTTTTTGTTTGCATACAAATCTCGTATGCTTGTGTGACTATGCACAATTACCTTGGCACGTACTGACGTGCGTTCATGTTCAAACAGTAAATATAACAACATATTGATTGGGCGGGTTTTTGTGTGATGCGGCGGTTTTTAACAGATTTTTGGGCTGAAAATCTCGACTCTATCTGGCAACACAGACGCCCAGCTGCGTGCCAACCACCGCCCACGCTTCGCACCCACAGACACCACAGCGCTGCTGTCCTCCTTTAATACTTCATCTTTGTTCCCTGGAGGCGTGGGCACACGTGCGCAACTAGTTTCACATAAATCTGACTGGGACCGCTTTGTTAGGAAACGTGATAAAATAATCTAAATGCCAGACAGATTAAATTAGGATGACAGACTGCTCAGCTACAGGAGAATAAATGTTAGCACGTGAGCTGATTCGTAGTCGATGTATTGATACTCTGTGGTTATCTGCTCTACGCAGTCCGTTTAAAACAAGTCAGCAGCCTCTTGTTCGGAACAAACCCACACAGCAGCGGAGTTTTAGAGTTAAAACTAAATTTACCCCTCACGTCCTCTGAGGCGTCAACAAGCCGCCGAGCGCGCGCTCAACCACGCTAAACTAGCTTAAAGTTAAAGCTTCGTCTTACCTGAGGGGAAACCAGCGGCTTCCTACAACCAGCGAGCCGCGAAGTTTCTATTTACATCGGTTGTTGTTGTTGTTGTTGTTGTGGCGGTCCACATAAAGAGGTCCCCGCCCCGCCCCCCTGGTAGACAAGTCCTCGCGCTGTCTGTGCGCGCGCCTCTGAATCAGAGAGGCTGTGGACACAGAGGACTCTGAAGTGTGATGGGGAGGAAATGTGACAAGAGGTTCCTCAAAAGTGGGTCGGACGTCCCCTTTCTCTGTCCGACACGTGATCTGATAGCACGAGACGTGAAGCGAAGTCAGGCTCGTGCGGCAGACGCAGCAGGTTGTAAGGAGAGTGTGTTTTATTCTCTGTGGTCATGTGACCAGATGAACTTTAAAGGCGGCTTCATTGAAGGAATGCATATCGCCCGCCGCCTTTTGTGTAAGACGTAAACTCTGAGTATCTGTTCATCCACCTTTATTTATGCAGGCTGAGCCTCGAGGACTCATGTACAAGACCTGCGTTGTGAATGACTCTCGGCTACTACCACCTATCAAAATCTGCTCAACTGACTGAATTATCCACATTTTTATATTGTCAAAAGTCTTATTGTCCTCGAATCAATAGTCACGTGGTTCAGAGCTATTAATATTAAGCATTCCCACAACATTGATACATTTTTGTCCAAAAATCTGGTTCCGATCGGATCATGTATCACAGAGATAACTGTTGGAATATCGTAGGGGGCGCACTTGAGTCAAATGTTAAACAACCATACCAATGTGTCCATAAGTGCTCACTAATGACGCATCAAAAATCTGGTTCAGATCGGATGTTGCATCACTGAGATATAACTGTAGGAAGACTGTAGGTGGCGCTGTGGAGGCTATTGGCCACTTATCATGGTTCACGGGGTGGATAATGATCGATCATAGTGATTTTGGTACGTCTCAGCTTAAATCTGTGCAATTTAGAGCCAAACGTATTGCAACAGTGTCACTTCTTAATTTGCCTCGCCCACATCCTCCAGCTATAACTGTTTGTAGTTTAAATCAAGTCAGACAGTCTTATCTGTCTTCTAACGCAGGATCATCCTGATTAGGTCAAGGGTGTCAAAGAGGGAGCGTTCCAAGTAAAAAAAAAGAGACTTCCTGTTCTGAGGGGGCGGGGCTTTGAT